TGGCTAGACACGTATAAAATATACAGATCAAGAAAACATAAATTATTTTACTTATGACCTATGTAAACATTTTGAATTTTATAAAAAAATATATATTTTATTATCTAAATATTTAATTTTTTTATATATTGTCAATCATTTAGATAAGAAAATATACTAATTCAATAATTGTCAGTACTGGTCAATGTTAGGTGAAAGTTTTTTCATCGCTGCAAATAACAATTTCTTTACTTTCACGAATCATCAATTCTTATTATTAAACTCCACAAAAATCATTTACCTTCAGTTATTATATATCATTTAATCTACAAATTCGTTTCAAAAATTCTAACTTTTATCAACTCTAATTGAAGATGCAATGAAGAAACTTACAGGGTTGGATACAGGATGACTCTAATCTATGTATAGAGTTTTATTTGCATATTGGTCTCACTGTGAAGACTGATTGTAAGAATCTCTAGGATTTCATTTTACTAATCAATTTTATTGTTTATTCATATCTACACAAACATTATGCACGTATCTTATTTGTAAAGAACAACCTTATGCATGTGGATACTTATTGAGACTGGATTAAAATATTCTTATTATATGATATAATGTATACAAATAACTAATTTGTAATGTATGTTTGGAATACGGTATGTTATATAGTATGTATGTTGTATTTACAGATTGTGATTTTTCAAGGCATTTTTTTTTTAAACGGAAATCAAAGAGAAGTAGTACTTTTGTAAGATTTTGTAATACATGTATTTGTGTATGAGAAATAAAAATACTCAAGAATGTAATATTTACACATATTTTTAAAATAGTATGATATTTAAGAGAAAGTCTGACAAGATGGAAATGTTAAGAAAAGATTGATCTAAGACATCTTAAGAAGATTTTTATTCATTTTGTAATTAGTAGAGTACATAATCAATTTTTACAAAAACTGATCCTGTGCTTCACTTCTCATGGATCTCTTTGTAAAACACACCATCTAAAAGGCTGTGGATACATATTTAGACAGATACTTATCCGTCAAAATGCCAGTATGTCCAAAAACTTATCCAGTATAAGCACAGTTAAAGTTAGGCGTTATTTAAATAAAATTTATTTGAATAACAATACAAATTAATCATTATTCGGTTATTTGTTATTCAAGTTATTCATTATTCATGTAAGAAACTTTTATTTGTTGTTTCATATTTGCACTTAAAACATTCAGTTATTAGCAAAGGAACGTCATTTACATTTCGTATGTTATTATATACATAATTGGTCAAAAGTTATTCAAGGTAATGAATAGAAAATAACAAATAAATTCAGTTTATTTATTATATGTGAATAATGAATATATTCATTATTCGTTATTTATAAATAACAATTAGATTGAATTTATTTGTCATTCCGTATTCGTTACTCCGAAAAAGTTTTATCGAACACTGATCGCAGTTTCACATTCCTTGTAATTCTTATTGTCAGTACTATAATACTGTATTCGTCGGTTTTAGAGCCATGTTTATTACAAACGTATCGATCCTCATTTTTTGAAAATTTACTCCCAACTCATTCATTTTTCATTCATTCAATCACACGAGATCATTATAATAATTTTTTCAATTATAAAATTTAAGATTATGCATGATATTAGCTCCAAGACAACACTTTATACACTAAATCACTTAATCTTATTCGTATTTACGATTCACACGCCGATTTTCACTTTCCTAAAGTTCTCGACATTACCTTACAAGTCAATGACATCTAAAAAATTGTGTATATTTTTTAAATACAATTTCCGCTTTTATTGCGTTCTTTTAGAGATATAAATATAAAAATTTCGACAATACTTACGCTTCTATGTAAACTGAGATGCTTGATTTAAATGTTCCTTTCCGAAGAAGAACGAAAGAAGCCGAAGAAAGAGCCAATCAAGAAACTAAAACGTAAAAGTGTCAGAAGGGAGGCAACGGACACGCATCTCAAATCTCCAACGTACGCAGAACGGTTAGTTCTTTGTACATATTCTTACATGTGGTTCGCAAGAAAGAGTGTGATCTTGTATATACGAATATATATTACATTGTACAACTTACATTTTTATTATATAGACAGGTAGATTTATATTTAATACTGGCTGCATATGTATATACACGCATTAATTGCATTCGTTTTTTAACATTTACATTATTTATGTAAATTACAGAATATGTTAATCAACCATGATCCAGTAATGAATACTACGTTTCAACGAACAAGCAGTAACGGTAAGTTGTTTTCTATATATAAATATTTAAAAAAACGTAAAAATAAGACAATGAATATATTCCGGTTTTAATATAAATAACCACGCGTTTTGTTCAATGTGATTAATAACATGTAATCATCGGTAAATATTAATGATTAGCAGTTAAGCGTGGTAAATTTAATAAAAACATGTTTTATAATATTTGTTACTTACTATGATATTTATTTATGTATTTATTAATTTTTTAAAGTTAATTTAATATTTAAAAAATGACTTATCATGATTTTTAATTGTTGTTTGATAAATATTTACAGTTATGGACGATTATATTTTTCCAGTTTCAGCAAATGTCAAACTGATCATATTGAAAATGGTTATATTTACCATTGATAGTTGTGAATTATTAATAATCCCTGTTTATATGATGAATCCATATAAATTATTAACTTTAACTTCTTCATTTGGTTTTTATTAATATTAACCGGTTATTATTAATATGAACCAATTAACAGTCATTGAAACTACAACAAACACATTAATAGGTGCTGAAGTTTGTTTTCTTTCATTTTTCTTACTGCATTTTATTAATAAATTTATTTCTATTATTTGATGAGTTTACTTTAACAAGAAAATGTCTTTGTGTATTTAAGTGTACCTATACAAAGACATTTTCTTCATTTATATTAAATAAAAGTAAATGTAATTTAACTCCTTGCCTGACAATATATTTTGAATCAAACGTTCCTGCTTACACTGTTTAGTTTTGTCTCAATCCTGTGGATCCAATTGTTTTAAATAAAATTGAAGTATTAGCTTTAATTAAATTTATTTATGAAAATAAGAAAATTATCATAGTTACAATAATGCATATTTGTAAAATAACTTGCAAAATCCAGTTTTGCACTGAGAATACTTGCGAGTGAGGCTTGTTAGTTCAAAGGGTTAATAAAATAGTTATACAAAGTTTCCTTTGGAATTATTTGCTGCACAAATATTTTTTATATTCAGTATATCTTCAATTATACTGATTATATATGTAGGTCTGCTAAATGTGCATACTTCTTTATGATTTTGTCGTATTTTTATAAAATATTATCAGATTTCGTATATGTATGCTTTGGTTTTATTATATATGTAAATTAGTTTAAAAAATCATAACTGTATGTTATCTTATCCCTTAAAGTAAAATTTACATAATTTGTTACTTTTATTTAATATGTATTTGTGCAATAGAAATTTTTATGAAACATCTTATAGTGTTATTGAATTTTATGTTCTTGTATAGTTTTAAATTATGTGATTACTAGACAGCAGATCTTTATGCAAAATATACAAAAATATATACAAAACATGTGCAAAATATATATACGACATATGCAAATTATATGCAAAATAGTGAAACCAATTGGAATATGTATACTTATTTTCATTTATTATTTGCTGTAATTTGCATTACAATATGTAACTAGGATTTTTTTCATATTATCAATGCTAAATTGATGTCTTTTCTTGCTGAAGATTAGTTTGTATGCTGAAAATGTCCTTTCAACATTGCAGGACGTAATTGGTGCACATGTGTAATTTTTCCAATATCTTGCATCAGTTTCGTCTGGCCCTTCAGTAGCAGATCCATATAGGATTTTATTAAGTTTTAACAAAGGATCATGATAGGAAGGCAGTGGTAATAAATAAATCTGATACAATTTGTAAATGATGCAATGATTTATTGATAGAGATTTTGGTGAGTATGTACTCTTTAGACGATTGCATGACACATACGCAGTAGAGTATATACAGCAAGCTTTTTGTATTCAAGACAGTCTCTGCAATTCAAGAAAGTCAAAATTACGGAACATAAGTTAGGACCCCCTTTATCACCTTATTTCTTATTTAATAAACTTATCAGTATTGCAACAGATCAAATCCTGGATTTTTAAACAAAAATCTTTTACCATTTATTTCAAATTATTTCTCCACAAGCATCAGACATTCGTTCCAGCTCTTCAGTAATATCAGCAACTAATTTCACTGATTCATACAATAGGAATCCTTTTGTTTCTAATTTTGCTATGGTAACTGGCAATCTCCAGTAATTAGTTGTAACATAATTTAATTCATCAAATAACGTTTCATTTTTTATCATTTCTTGAGCTAATCTAATGCTACTTACATTTCTCTCATTGAATAATAACCTGGAAATAAATAATAAATAACCTGAATGTCTTATTCTGTTTAAGTAATACGTGCATGTATTATAAAACAATAGTGACTTCTCTTATATTGTGCACATGCTCTGCATAAAATATTGCCTCTTCTAGCCACGTTCCCCATCTTGTTAAAATAGGTTTCAGTGGCAATGGAACATTTGGTAGCTTTTCTTTATAGCATTCAATATGATGCAGCGCCTTCAACAATGCTTGTTTTATGGAAGCTATTAATTGGTTAACTACTGTAACAATTTCAATTTCATCTTTCTTGTCCACTTCGCCGTTTTTCTCAAGATTGAATAATATGATAAATACTGGTCAGTCCAATCTACACTCATTGTTCTGCGCGCACAATGAATTTTAACTTTAAATTTCAAAGTTAGTCATATGTACGCTTCGAGCGGCAAATTAATGGCATTTGAATATTTAAGGTTGTTTGATTCGACTGAATTATTAATTGGATTTTGATTAGACGTATTGGTTGCTTCATTAAAATGCAGAAGTGTATTATGCTTGTGATTGCATTTTTTACAGCCGTTAAGACAGCATTTGCTTGTTTGATGATTGTGGTGTCGAATCGGTCACCTCGAATTAGGAGACTTTGATTCGATCGAGATTACGAAGAGTCTATGGTTACTGTGATATTTTTGTTTTTAATATTAAGAACGAGAGTTTTCGGGCCTTCGTATGACGGCTGTAAAATCGGTTTAGATGCATCGGTCCGCACGAAAACATGTGAAGCTGTATTTAAGTCCTTGAAAACGAATGTGCGTTTCGCGTTATGGTGCGTACCATCCCTCGGGCCCATTTTGGCAAACTGACTGCGGAGGTTGCTTACAAAATCCCTGACATTTTCTCCCCTCTCTAATGGGCGCGTGGACAAAAATTCGCCGGGTAATCGTACCGTTTCGCCATATACTAATTCGACCGACGTTGCCCGCAAATCGTCCTTCCACGCGGCTCGGAACCCGTGCAAGACCGACGGAAGAATCTCTGTCCACCGATTTGTCTGGTGGCAACGGATAGCGGCTTTGAGTTGCCTGTGGAACCTTTCTACCATTCCGTTGGCCGAAGGGGGGTGGTATGCTGTTGTGCGCAAATGTTTTGTGCCGGTTAGTTGGTTAAGTGCGGCAAATATTTTGGCTTCGAATTGTCTTCCACGTCTTCTACGCACGCGTGGCAATACCTGAACCCTTCGGAAATCGGTAGAATTACAATGTCTATGTGAATGTGTTCGAACCTCGCAGTAGGTGGAACAAAGGGGCTCAGTTCAGATGCTACGTGCCGTGTAACTTTTGCTTTCTGGCATTGAATGCAACACCGCGTCCACCGGCGTACATCCTTTTTAATCGACGGCCAAACATAACGTCGAATCATGAGGTTGACCGCCGCATTGATGCCTGGATGGGCTAATTCGTGCGTAACGGTGAACGCGGTGTGCCTAAACGGAGGCGTGAGGAAGGGCCTTGCTGCGTTTGTCGAAACGTCGCAAAACACTTCCGTAGTCGAGCCAGGTAAGCTGATTTTGCGCAATTGTAAACCCGATTCCGCGTACAGAAACCGCTGGATTTCGGGATCGTGGGCCTGTGACTGCGCTAATTCTTCGTAATCCAGCGGTGTCTGTACGGTCTCAATCCTCGACAACGCATCGGCAACGACATTATCTTTTCTGGATACATGCCGATTATCTGTTGTGAACTGTGCTATGAAATCGATGTGCCTGAATTGTCTTGGGGAACATTTATCTAGTTCTTGTTTAAACGCGAATGTAATTGGTTTATGGTCGGTAAAAATGGCAAAGGTTCTACCCTCGACCATGTGTCTAAAATGTTTTATGCTAAGGTATATGGTGAGTAGCTCGCGGTCGTATGCGCCGTATTTCTGTTCTGTTGAAGTTAACTTTTTTGAAAAAAGCGCTAATGGTTGCCAGTCGTTGCCGATGCGCTGTTGCAGGACGGCCCCGACCGTGTAATCGGAAGCGTCGCAGGTATGCGCTAACGGTGCGTTGGGTTTAGGATGCGATAATAGTGTAGCCGCCGCTAAATCGTTTTTGCAGGTGTCAAATGTCTGCCGCGCTTCTTCCGTCCAGAGTACCGGTGCCTTACCCTTTATATTACCGGCGAGCAGGTCATTTAAAGGGGCCTGGCTCTGCGCAGCGTTAGGGATGAATCGACGGTAAAAATTCAACATCCCCAAAAACTGCCGCAGATCCTTGGCCGTCTTTGGAAGTGGGAACGCTCTGATTGCCTCCACCTTACCGGGTAGAGGTTGTGTCCCATCTTCCGAAACCCGATACCCTAGAAATTCTACCGTGTCCTTCCCAAAATTGCATTTCGCGGGGTTTATAACGGTACCGTGATCTCTAAGCCGCTCAAACGACATTCGTAAATGCTGGAGGTGTTGTCCCGTGATTCTGACGCGACGAAAATGTCGTCGATATATGCGTAGCAAAAGTCGTATCCGCAAAGAACTTCGTCTATAAACCGCTGAAACGATTGAGCGGCGTTACGTAATCCGAAAGACATGAACGGAAATTCGAATAGGTCGAACGGCGTTGTGATTGCCGTTTTCGCAATATCTTCGGGGGCGACCGGGATCTGATGGTACACACGCATTAAGTCGATAGTCGAAAATACGCTCTTACCCTCGAGATTTTGCGCAAAATCTTCGATGTGCCGCACAGGGTAACGGTCCGGAATGGATCTCGCATTTAGTGCCCTGTAATCGCCGTAGGGCCTTCATACGTCCTCTCCTTTCTTCGGGACCATGTGTAGCGGGGAGGACCAGCAACTCCTGGACGGACGCGCGATGCCCATCCTCATCGTGAACTCGAACTCCTTTTTAGCCGCTTCAAGCCTGTCCGGAGTCAGCCTACGTGGTCGACTGGAAACAGGTGGTCCGGGAGTCGTCCTGATGTGGTGTACCGTCGTGTGCTTGACGACGGCTGGCATTCCCCCAGGTCGAGTGATCTCCGGGAACCTGACGAGGGGCTCGTGGTAGACAGATCCTCCCACCACCGTCTTGACGGAAGGTGCCTCGCTGCTGACTGCCCGGCCTCGCGTAGACAGAGAGGTCGTGGGGTCGATCAGTCGATGGTTGCGGATGTCTACCATCAAATTGAAGTGGGCCAAAAAATATAATTTGACAAAAAACGCTAAATGGCACGAGGTGTTCTTCTTTCTAATGTTCCCACACGACTGACGTCGTTCGTCTTTTTATTTCATCGCGAACGAACCGAAGTCGTTCTCCGATCTCGTTACATTGTATCTACCGCTACTCGCACGTTACATCCTTCATATACACTCTGTTTGACAAAAGCGTGTCTGGCAAAACTCGAAAACTATTTAGGATATCGGGTTCGAAAAAAATACACAAATTCTTTATGGTGTATACTAAGATGCTTTATTATTAACATGGTGTCCAGTCACCGCCATTATCAATAATTAATTTACATCTTCGGGGCATACTTTCTACTAATGTAATCGCATAATCACGAGATAAGGTCCTCCATACCAATCGAATTTGACGAATCAGCTTCTTGATCGTGTTGAGCTTCTTTCCTCTGAGCTTGATCTTCATGATTGCCCAAACATTTTCTATTGGATTTGCATCCGGCGACTGTGAAGGCCAATCTAGTACAGTGAGTCACAGCCAAAATCGTACATCACATATACGAATACGTTTCGTCTCGTGAAAAAGTTCAGGAAGGATATGGGGGAAAAAATATCATGAATTTATATTGTAAATGTATCTATATTTATTATGTAGTAGTATCAAAAGGAACAAAGTTGTCTAAATATAAAAAAAAACAAAGTTACTATAATTCAGCCTGGAAAACGTCTCACAGCTAAAATCGTACAGTATTTTTGTACCTTGATCAAAAAGTTTTAGGACTTTATTCATAAAATCGAAAATACAAGTTTATTCGTCCAAATCGATATGGTCCCCTTCAAAGTACTCCCCATTGACTGCAATGCACTTGCGCCAGCGCTTGATCCAATCCTCGAAACACCGCTGGT